GTTCTCTTCTCCCTCACCCACAGGGAGAGTTCTTAAATAGGCCTCCAGGCAGCCCCAATTAGTTTCACCTGGGCCTTAATTGATTTTGCAGCTGCCCTGTCTCAGCTACCCCTAATTAGCCAGGATTGCTGACTTACTCTGCAAGAGCTGCATCTTTCCCCTTCCATCAAGCTCTTTAACCTGTTGTATCACCCCTGCTCTGTCTCACAGTTTATTGAAAAATCTTCACCCCTGACAGAGTTCAAAAGTTGCGCTCCCTATTGACGAAGTCATCATGGAGGCTGCAGAGGTCATTTGGCAGACACTAGCGTCGGTTCCACCAACCTGCAGGAGAGCAGACAAGAAATACTTTGTCCCTTCCAAAAATCTGAAGTTCCTGTTTAATCCCTCACAGCTGAACTCCTTGGCAGTGGACGTGGCCCAATAACGTGCCAAAACACCACAATATAAGATGACGCCAGATGTGAAAAAATTAGACATATTTGGTAGGAAGGTTTATTCTTCCGCAATCTTGCTCTTACGCATAGTGAATTATGCTGCCTTGTTATCTAATCACAACTTTGATAACTATGAGAAGATAACACAGCTGCTTCAGTATCTACCAGAAACCAAATGTCTTCTCTTGAAATCCTACATTCAAGAGGCTGGGACGCACACATCAATGGCATGTCCGTACAGGGGAAATGGTCTTTAGCGGAGGCCATTCTACATATCAGTCTCCTGGAACCTAAATCGTATTCCTCGCATGCAAATATTTCCGGACACACATCACCGGTATGACTGTCAGGGTTCTTATGGACAATATAGCCACTATGTATTATATCAGTCACCAAGGAGGAGCACGTTCCTGACAGCTCTGCACAGAATCAGTCTGCTTATGGAATTGGTGTATGCGGAATCGCATCAGCCTGATAGCGTCCTGCTTACCAGGTGTGACGCACCGGGCCGGGTCTGGGCACAGCTGAGGGCATCCACTCAGGGTGACTTGCTCAAACTCGGGGCTCCTTACAGCCCCCAGACTGGAGACCTTCCTAAACAGGCCACAAACCAGTCCCCTTACGAGCAAAACCCCTCTGACACCTTGGCAATATCGGTGCCCCATATGACACCAGGCCTGCCCACAGGTGAGGGGTCTTAGACCCCAATCTCACCTACCTCAAACAAGTTCTGTCCGGTTCCAAGAAACCAGCCACAGATCCCAGGTCAATTTACCCTCTGGATATTACCCACAATATCGCGCTTAGCCAGTCCTTTAGAATCTAAAATCTAAAGGTTTATTACTACAAGAAGGAAAAGCATGAAAGTAAGGTTGTTAAAGTATCATACATTACATGCATCGAATCTCCCAGGCCTGCAGCAGAGATGTTATAGCTGCTGGCTTAAAAGACTTTGGTGTACATCCTACATCAGGATGGGTCCACAATTCTTCCCGGCTCCTCGATCCCTGCATTCTTGCCTCTGGGATAAAGAGCTGAGCTGAGCACCAAGATGGAGTCGGACACATGGCCTATTTATCCCCGCCCCCCCGGCTTCTTCCCAGCTGGTGAGAGAAACATGGTCTCTGACGAGGCGCCTAGATTCCTTCATAGGTGGGTCTCTGGTACTTAAGAGACCTATTGTCCCTACAGCCTTGTTAATTAGCATGTCCATAGGCCGAGCCCATTGCTCAATCACATACAGAGAAACTTCCAGTCTCCATACAGAGTACATATTCATAACCACACACACACACACACACACACACACACACACACACACACACACACACACACACACACACACAATACAGGTATATGAAGAGCATATACAGAATCAGTAGAAAGTAAGCTTTTTTTTAACACCTCACATGACCCCCTTTGTACCAACTTTTGGGGCAAACACTCCCCTATGGGCGCAGCAGTGACCTGGCTGCTTCCCTTAAACTCCGGTAACGTGACACCAAGCACAAGCAATGTCATGGCAGAAGCACTCAGCAGACATTTCCCTCATGACCGCGAGTGGGAAATCCATCTCATTGTCCTGAAGCACATCTTCCACGCTTGGGGATCCCCTCAGCTAGATCTTTTCACTATCTATGACAGCAGAAAATGTCACCTGTGCTGTTCGAGAGGGGACGTAGGCAAGGGGTCCCTTGGGTATGCACTGCTAGTCCGCTGGGGTGGATCTCTGCTTTATGCATTCCCACCAATGGTGCTTATACCAGGGATGCTGCAGAAAATCAGAGAGGATTCAGCCTGTGTCATTCTCCTAGCCCTGGCCTGGGCAAAACAACCTTGGTACCCAGGGGCGGATATAGGGCAGGGCGCTTCAAAAAGCCCCGCGCATGCACCGTGGCGCCACCTCTGCCGTGGCAAAGGGGGGCCCCGCAAAATTATGCTGCCCAGGGCCCCGCAAAACGGTCATCTGCCCCTGTTGGTACCCATTTCTCCACACGATGTCCCTGCAACCACCATGTCCCCTAGCCCTCCTCCCAGATCTTCTCTCTCAGAGCCACAGCTCCCTGTTACATCTGAGACCAGAGACCCTCCGTTTGACAGCGTGGCTCCTAGCTGGTTCGACATAGAGGAGCGCCTTTGCTCAGATGGGGTGAAGGCATGCTGTTGTACAGTAGGAGAGAGTCTACAAAGAATACTTACCTAGCAAAATGGAATGCATTTGTGGCTTGGTGTAAGAACAACGACATCAGTCCACACTCTGCACCGATATATAAGATCCTTGATTACGTCCTATCTCTCGATCAAGCAGCTCTCTCCATCTCTACCCTTAGAGTGCATTTATTGGCAATTAGCATCTTCCACAGAACCACTGTAGAGTCAGTGAATTGGCAGCATTAATAGCAACGCCACCCTTCATGGTTTTTAACAGAGACTCACTTATGTTGTGCACTCACCTTGCTTTCATTCCCAAAGTTTCTTCACAATTTCATGTTAACAAACCTATTGTTCTGCGGGTCTTTTATCCAAAACCGCATGCCTCTGCTCAAGAATTGCTGCTCCACACCCTCGATGTATGTTGAGCTATAACTTTTTACATAGACAGAATGCAGACCTGGTGCAAAATGGACCGCCTACTAGTATCCGTGGCAGACCGCTCCAAGGGCAATCCATTATCCTCCCAGTGTGTTTATAAGATCATAGTTTCTTGCATCACTACCTGTTACTCAATCCAAAACAAGCCCCTTTGGACTTTACCTAGGGCACATTCCACCAAGGCAGTAACAACATCCACTGCCTTTGCCCACGGAGTCTCATTGCCGGACATTTGCATGGCGGCCACATGGTCTGCAAATTTGACCTGTATGAATCACTATGCAATAGTTTAGCAGTGGGCAGCGGATTCCTCAGTGGCTTGATCAGTACTTTCAGTCACTGACAAACCTTAACTCCGGAAACGCACATGGGGTACTACTACATAGTCACCATCAGTGGAACACCCACGGGTACCACTCGAAGAAGAAGTAGTTACTCTCCTTTGTGCAGTAACGATGGTTCTTCGAGATGGGTTCCCCAGGGGTGCTCCACGTCCCACCCTTCCTCCTCATTCTGGAGTTGTTCTTTTCTCTTTTCAGATACCTAACAGCGAGAGGAACTGAGCACGGAGCCAGGTGCGCGCGACGATCAAAGGGCACGAACAGCATAAGCTGTTGATCGCGCATGCATGGCCCAGCTGAACACAGCTGTTGAAAGTTTCTGAACTGCGGTGCCAGGATGAGCCCGACACCATCAGTGGAGCACTCATAGGGACCCATCTCAAAAAACCATCATTACTGCATGAAGGTGAGTAACTACTTCTTCTATCCGAGCTCCAGGGAGAAATGGGAAGGTGAAGATGTTACCCACAGTTCCTTGGAGGAGGATCGAGAGTTATGTAAACATCAGAAAAATTGTTCTAAAAAGTACTCCAGGGAAGAGGACTAGGAGCCTCGTGATTCAGGCAAGATATACAGACTGTGTAAGAGGAGTTCCCCAAAGCTAGATCTAGGAGTAGGATTAAAGGCTCAAGTGGGAGGGTCTTTTCCTTTTTAGGATCTTTTTTTTTTTGTTAATTGAAGGGAGATGCTTTGAGGCAAGCTTGTTTGGACTTATATATAAAAGCAGGTAAGGGGAAACAGAGGCAGTGACTTGTGGTGCTTGTGCCTGACAGAAGAGCAAGGCTGCCTGCTCCAGGAGCAAAACATTTTACAACCAGAGTAAGAGTAGCAGACTCAGAGCTCTGCTTCTGCTTTTCATGAGCGATTCTTATTTTATTTAACAATCCAACTTGTTAATAAATACCATAGATATTTTGTATTTAGTGGCTAACATTTCTTATAATTTTTTGGCTTAGTTCGTCCAGAATTTACTGATACCTTAGCAATCAAGCAGGGATGGCATCCCATTCTTGAAAAGATATCTATGGAAAAACCTGTTTCTAATAACACTTACATCACAGAAGGCAGCAATTTTATCATTATTACAGGACCAAATATGAGTGGAAAATCAACTTATCTGAAACAGATTGCTCTCTGTCAAATTATGGCACAGATAGGTGAGTAACAGTTTCCCCTATAAGCATTCTTTTGCACTACACTTACTGTTTCCTAATGGAAATGTTATCATTATTTACTAAGTGTAAAAATGTGTTTCTAAAAATCAGATGAGATTTTATTTATGTATTAAACAAGGCCAATTTTTAGCTAACATGTTGTTACCAGTGCTAACATAAGATAACTTGCACTTTTATTTTGCAGGTTCTTATGTTCCAGCAGAATATTCTTCTTTTAGAATTGCTGAGCAGATTTTCACTAGAATTGGTATGGATGATGATATAGAAACAAATTCATCAACATTCATGAAGGAAATGAAAGAGGTGCAAGTTTAATTATTTTAGTATTAAGGGCCTTAATTGATACTAAGCTAGGTAGTTTACATTGGTTTATGGGTATGTATTTTATTGGCACTGAAGCACTTTTATTTTAGACAAGTACATGCCAGGGATAGTGCAGGAGTACTTGGTCCTGTCTTAGCACAGGGGATTGGACTAGGTGACCTCTTAATGTCCCTTAAGCTCTAGATTTCTATGATACTGAGTATAAATTAAGCAGTCAAAGACAACTTGTGTTGCTCTTCCATATGGTATGTCATGAGGAGAAGAAGCATCTTTTAGAATGGTAGGTCCCAGATCATTTAGGAATTTACAGGTCAAAATCAGCAACAGAAAACCAACTCAGGAACTAATAGGCAGTCTCTACCAGTTACAGAACTTAACACAGTGTTAGTGTGTAACGTGAATCATAGTGTTAATGTGGTTTTGGGGGAAAAAACTCTTTACTTAAAAAGTGACTTTTGCATCAACTTCAGTTGCTACATGAATTTAAGATGCATCCCAAAGAATTCATTACAGTCGTCCAATTTTGAGGTGATGTATCTGAAAGAAATGTTAACTGCTAGATCGCTGTTTTGTCGAGAAAGAAAGATGTCTGGCTGTTGCTGCTGTATGATCTATTAGTCACTGCTCAGAGACTAACCAGAGGCAGATGGTGACAACCTTCTACCATGTAGTTTCCAGGGTTACGTCCTTGTGATGGCGCGTCGAGGAGTCCCCGACCCTGCACCCCCGTAGCAGCGAGAACAGACTCCACCAGCCAGTAGAATAGAGAGAGTTTATTGCTTCTCCAGGATACAGCACAGCATAGACATGATGTAGTTACGGAGTCATGGCCAGGATGCCTCAGACCCCCTGGGTTAGGGAGTCCATTGCCCCCGATAACCCTCAGCACTTAGCTTAGTCTGTTCTCTTCATGACTCCGAGCCAGAAACTGCCCTTTCCCCCAATACTCACTTCCTTTGTTCCATCTTTTCCCTTAACTGGTAGGACCGGTTCAGTTACTGTCCTGGGGGCCCTCAAGGTGCCCCTCACTGGGCAGTGCTTACAGACAGAGGCCAGCAGGGGTCATCCACAGCCCAAGCATAGCAACCAGCAATGTACTGACACTACATCACATCTCTCCCCCAAATGAGAGCGAACTGAGTGGGGCCACTCTGCCTGTGACCTGGTGAAGTTCGGGCCCCCCACTACAGGATAGCGCGTTGGCGATGATATTGGCGTTCCCCTTGACATGGATCACTTCCATGTCGTAGTCCTGCAGGAGCAGGCTCCATCTCAGCAGCGTGGCGTTGGTCCCCTTGGGCTGCCTGCCTGTTTTATTGCCTATGAACTTATCACCCCATAGGTTGGTTTTTGCTGCAGTGGGTGGAGTAGCAGGCCTGAGCACAAGTCAGCCCATTGGCTGATCTTTTACTGCAATGGGTGGAGCGAGCAGGGGAAGATTATTAATTTACATGCCCTTATATGGAAAACACTCCACCTTACAGACAGAGCCCCCTATACCAGCCTCAGAGGTATTACAGGCTATGGCTCCCTGCGACGGGCAGCCATTCCTGATGTTCTGTCTCGGACACAGGGGTCCCTTAACCCGCCTCCTGTATATCAGTTTGAACGGGGAGAACCCCGTGGACTCCTGGAGCACCTCCCTGTATGCGAACAGCAGGTGGGGTAGGTATTTGTCCCAGTCCTGCAGGTGCTGGTGCATAAAGGTTCTTAGCATCTGCTTCAGAGACCCGTTGAATTTCTCCACCATCCCATTGGTCTGGGGGTGCTACGTCGAGGCCCAAGTGTGCTGGACCCTGCACTTATCCAACAAGCATTGGAGCAGGGCCAACATGAACTTGGAACCCTGATCCATGAGGACCTCCTTGGGGAGCCCTGCTGAAAATGGTCAGCAGCGCGTCTGCCACTGTGTGTCCTCGATAGAGGGCATTGCTGCAGCTTCGAGATAGTGGATGGCAAAGTCCACCACCACCACCAAAATGTATTTCTTCCCAGTCCGGGTCGCTCTACTGATGGGTCCCACAATATCCATCGCCTCCTTCTGGAAAGGCTCCTTTATGATGGATAAGGTCTCCAAAGCAGCTTTCCTCCTATCTTGGGCTTTCCCCACCCTCTGGCAGGAGTCGCAGGACCAGCAGTACTGCTGCATGGCCACAAATATCCCCGGCCAATAGAAGTTTTGGAGTAGTCTCAGCCAGGTGCGCCGGATGCCCTGGTGTCCCAAGAAGGGGATGTCATGGGCCGGGTACAGTAGCTTGCGGCAATACTTTTGGGGAACTAACAGCTGCCGCTGGAGCCCCCATACCCGCACCTTCCCTGGGGGGAGCCATTCCCAGTACAGGAATCCCCGCTCCCACAGAAACCTCTCCTGGCAATCTCCCTCAGGGGCTGAGTTGCACCCAGGTCAGCTTGGTCCCTTAGGGTCCACAAGGAGGGATCTGCCTGCACTTCAGCCTGGAATTCGGCAGCTGGGGCAGGGACGGGGACTTGTTCCCCCCCACTGCTTGGGTCCAGAGTCCTAGCTCAGCCGGGCCCCGTGTCTGCTGGGCTAGGGCCTTGAGCCCCCTGCAGGGAGCCCTCCCCTTGGTCAGGATCACCAGCCCCTTGCTGGCTCTGGCTACGGGTGGTGACTAGAGCCCTGTGGGATCCATCTGGCCAGTCCTCTAGGCCCCCCCCCATCAGCACCCTCTTCCTTGGTACCCTCCTTAGCCCCCCCATTTCAGATGCACTCGGGATATAGGCACCTTAAACGGAGTCCTGTCTATGCCTCTCAGGGTTAGCTGAGTGTTGGGTACCATTTGGTCTGGGGCCACTATATCAGGCCAGGCCAGTGTCACCTCCGCCCCAGTATCTGAGAAACCCGTCACCTTCCTGCCATCCATCTCCAGGGGCACGAGGCACTCGCTCTGCAGGGGCTGCCCTGCCCCCACCTGGTATAGAAGGAGTGTCAGGTCTCTGGGAAGGGTTGGCCTGAGCAGCCTTCTCCCTGCTTTGAGCTGAAGTTTGCCTGCCAGCCCCTGGTCTGTCCTGGCTGTTTCTCTGGGGCACAGATGGCTGGTCCTTGCCTCTTAGGCTCACCCTGTAGGTGATTTCCTCCATTGCTCAGCTGAGAACCAGTCCCTGCACGATTCCTTTTCTCTCCGGGACTCCCTTTCTCTCCAGGCTTCCTGATCACACCCAGACTGGCTGTCTGTGAACTCATCCACCAGCCTCCCGGCCTCCTAGGGGTCCTCTGGCCTCCAGTCCTTGAGCCACAGCCTCAGGCTGAGCAGGCACGCTTCATAAAATTGTTCAAGCATCATCAGCTTAAGCAGGTCCTCTGCGGTCTGGGCTCTGACCCCACACACCCACTTGTGGCAGTATTGCGCGAGGTAGGAGGCCATATCTACATAGGTCTCCCGTGGCCCCTTCTGCACCCCTCCCCCCCCAGGGACTTCTTCCTGTACTTTTCTGGGATTAGCCTGAACTTGTGCAGTAGGGCTTCTTTGACCCGTTCGTAGTCGCCCAGCTGCAAATTCTTCAGCTGATTGAGCAGCCCTGCAGCCTCCTGATCCAGCAAGTGAGAGGCATGCTGTTGGAGCCAGTCTGTTGGGGGAATCTGGCGTAGTTCACAGGCTTGTTCAAAAGGGCTAAGGAACCAGTCCTTGTCTCCCACATTCTTACATTGGCCCAACATGAGCTTTTCAAAGCGTCTCACAGCCCCGGGCCCCCTGGGGTCCTCCCCACTCACTGCAACCGGGGCCTCTCGGCTTTTCTGCTCCGCCATGGCCAGCTTATGCTGCCGCTGCTTCTCTCGGTCCTGTACCTCCAATTCCTTCATCCGCAGCTCAATCTCCAGCCGCCGCAGCTCTGCCGTGATAGACCCCGCCCTGGATGAACTGCTGCTAGTGGAGCGTGGCCTGGTGGCCACCGTGTCTGTCTGGCAGACTTCAGCCCTCCCTCTGGTCTGAGGGCCTGAAGACGCTCTCAAGAGGTGTCTCACTGCTCCCTGCTGAGACAGGATCCAGGCCCCTGGACTGGTCAGTCTCTTCCAGTGGGGTGATCTGCCTTCAGGAGTTGGGCGTAGGCCATCACCCCACTAATCCCGCTGAGTGCTGCAGCACTTCATGACTCCTAGGAATCTCTTCTTTCTGCCTCTAGTACGCCTGGCTCTTGCACGCCCCTTTCTTCTGCTGCTCCTTGTCACTTGCTTCATCCATAGGGTGCAGTGCATCCCACTCTTGACACCACTGTGACGGTGCGTTGGGGAGCCCCCGACTCTCAGCAGTGAGAACAAACTCCTCCAGCCAGGAGAATAGAGAGGTCTTATTGCTTCTCCAGGATACAGCACAGCATAGATGTGAAGTAGTTACAGGAGTCAGGGCCAGGATGCCTCAGACCCCTTGGGTTTAGGGGGTCCATCGCCCCGCCCCAACCCTCCGCACCCAGCTTAGTCTGTTCCCTTCATGACTCCGAGCCAGAAACTGCCCCTTCCCCCCACACTCACTTCCTTTGTTCCATCCCTTTCCTTAACTGGTAGGATCGGTTCGGTCACTGTCCTGGGGACCCTCAAGGTGCCCCTCACTGGGCAGTGCTTACAGACACAGGCCAGTAGGGGTCATTCTCAGCCCACAGCCCAGGCATAGAAACCAGCAACGTACTGATACTACATCACAGTCCTAAAGCACAACAGATATCAAATCAGCATCCCAACATTGCCAGTGAAGTTCCAGGTTGAACAGCAATGGAAATACTTAATCTGAAAAAAGTGACTCCTCCCAGACCCAATTAAAAAAATCAAAGACCCAGTTCTAAGAATTTGCCAGTTGAATGTTGAAGGTTTATCTGAGCCTGGAGGCGACCAGCTAGCCCATGTTATGTGAGACATGATTAACATCATTGTCCTGCAAGAAAGTCAAGAATCATGCCACCATATTGCTGGCTACAGTATCATCACCTACTTCCATTACCCAAAACATAACATTGCTACATGCATCAAG